CAAAAAATTCTTCAATCCTGCAGTCCAATTTGTTGGTACAACATCAAAGCACCTAGTGATTAGTGATGGGCCTAACACCCCCCCTGCTCGGGGGACTGTGAACTTCGAACAGGAACAATTTACTGAGCGGTATCTTGCTGCATCTGAGTATGTGGTAAGATACCGCTCAGATACTAAAATACCACACGAGTTATATTATTCATAGTCATGTGGTATTTTAGTAATGAAACATTCATTCACGTTTCAGCTGTCAGCAGGGTTCCTTGCTTTTAATAAAAAAAGACGGCATAGGGTCCCCCCTCCCATCCATACCAAGCCCTTCGGGTCTGGTATGACTTTTGAGAGGAACCCCCCTTATCTGAGCATGCAGCCAGGTCAGGAAAGGGGGATGGACAAGTGAGCACCCCCTCCTGAATCATACCAGGCCACATGCTTTCAACATGGGGGTGCCCCCGCAAAGCACCTTGTCACCATGTCGATGGGGACAAGGGCCTCTTTTCCACAAACCCTGGCCAGTGGTTGTGGGGGTCTGTGGGTGGGGGGGCTTATAGAAATCTGGAGGCTCTCTTTAACAAGGGGTCCCCCAGATCCCGCCACCCATGTGAATGGGTATGGGGTACATGGTACCGTTACCCATCCACAAAAAAAAAAAGTGTAGTGTAAAAAAAGACAGAAGACAGTCTTTGACAGGTCCTTTATTAAAAACAAAAATTTTAAAAATGTCCCCCGAAGTAGATCCAACGTCAATTACGATGCCCGCAGGTTCACCCCCACCCCCTTGTGACATCATCATGCCCTGTGATTGGTGCAATGCTTTAGCCAATCACAATGCACTGTTTGGCAAATTATGCTTTGGCCAAACACAATGCACTGTGAGGGCGCAGTGCATTGTAGGGCACGGCAGGCAAACAATGCCCGTGTATCATTCGTGTGTTCAACAAACACACAAACTGTCCATGTTCGAGTCCAACTTACATTCGATTCGAACATGCAACAACCTCTGAATAAAACAGAGAGCACTATTTTGGTGTGTTTTGTTTTATTACATGCCTGGCTTGTGTTGAGAAGGGATGTTTCAATCAGGGGCGGACTGACAACTCATGGGGCCCCTGGGCAATAGGCGATCATGGGACCCCTGTGTCCTTGCCCAAACTCAAAAAAGCCTATGAAAAAGGTACCAGGGGCATCTCATGGGGCCCCCTACTGACCCCGGGCCCTCGGGCAGTGCCCGAGTTTCCAAATGGTCAGTCCGCCCCTGGTTTCAATAATCCTCTGCAGTACTGGTGTATCATTAATCCTAAACATGGATGCAGAGGAATTTAACTCTTCTTCTTCTACTAAGCTGGACCTTCTGTAGAGCAAGGGTTCTTTGTTCAAGGTGAGCATTCTGGCTGGCATGAGGTGAAGAAGGGAGATACCTGCTGTTGGCACATAATGTTTGAAGATTGTCACCAGGTGTTTTGATGTTGTGTTAACACATTGGATTGCAGGACTGCACTTGTGCTTTTTTGCATATTTTGTTTATATATAATATTTAGTGTGTTTATATATAATATTTAGGTAAGAGTTTTTTTCCTGATGATAGAAAGCTATGCAGGGTAAACACTTCACAACAGGATATGGCAACTTTACAAGTAATGCACCTAGGGGACAAAAAATATGAACACAAATTGCTTGCTAGAGGGAAAACCTCTGGGGGAATCGTGGATGGAAAAGGATCTAGGGTCCTAGTAGATGACTGGCTCAGCAATAGTATGCAATGCAATCTGCAGCAAGTAAAGCTAGCAGACTATTAACATGCATTAAAAAGGGCATCTACTCAAAAAATCAGGCTACCACTGTACAAAACTCTGGTTTGGCCACATCTTGAGTATGCCATCCAGTTCTGGTCACCAGTTCTCAGGAAGTGTTTGCTGGAAATGGAGGGAGTCCATAGAAGGGCAACAAAACTAATAAAGGGGCTGGAGGACCTCAGTTATAAGTGACTAAAATCATTAAATTTATTCTTCCTGGGGAAGAGAAGTAGATATGTTGCAATTTATAAATGTCTCAATGATGATTCTATCAGAGGGAAAAAATTATTTTGTCTCAGGTCATTTAAGAAAATATGCAGCCACTCAATGATGTTGGAGGAGAAGTGGCTTAAACCTTAAAATGCATTAAAGGTTCTTTACTGTCAAAGCAGTAGGGATGTTAAACTCTCTTCCACAGTTGGCGGTGTCAGCAAGCAGTGTTGATATTTTCCAAAAACCTTTAGATAAGCATCTTAGCAAATGCAATATGCAGGGATATGGGAAATGGTAGTGGAATAAACACATACACACAGGTACGCAGGTAAGTACGCAGGTTGGATTGGATAAACTGGTGTTTTTCAACCTTGCGAACTATGTATAGTAGCTCTTTGGGGCCTATTTACAGCAGAAAGCAGATACCAATAACCACTGGACAGTGCAGTGAAAACATCACAGCATGGCCTGAAATGTATGTGAAATTCATAAAATGCAGTAATTGTAAGTATTTAATTGGCAGGTCACACAACTTTGACATGTTACATGAATCATCTTCTTTCCCTCACATTATTTCTATTCATTTGAATGGCGCTCCTCTTGCCTGTGGAGTTTTATTTGTAAAGTGATGTCTGCAGGTACTTGTATGACTGTTAAAACTGATCTTTGTTGAGCCCAGCCTTCACATAGGGCCCCTCCTTTTTATGTGAAGTCCAGGCCTGCTATTGAACGATCTAACATCTGCACTGTCTAATGAATCACATTTGAGAGACAGCGGTTGGGGCATAGTACCAGGAAAAATAGGGCTTCATAGTGACTAACGATGAAGTTATATCTTAAAGCAGAACTACACTGAATCAGAGCTCCATAAACCAAAAATGCTATTTCATTAATTTTTATTATTCAAAGCAAACTCCCCCATCCATTTCTCCATGCTTTTTTTGCTGAGAAATCACTGTATAAAATTCCCCCTAGTATTTCTGGCTGTGGCCACCTTGACTAAGGGCAGATGATTCATGTAGCATTTACTTCCTGGAATCAATCTTCCTTTAGCTCAGGCATGCAGGCAGAAGGTTGTGCTTAGCTGAGAAAACCCCCTCCTCCCCTTCTGAAAACTCTTGGGATGTATGGCAACATTTGCCTAGGCATGGAAACCAGGAATTACATAAAAGAAAAGTAAAAAGGTAAAACAAGTAAATATGATACTTTCTATCTATTTACTAATGCTAGCAGCATAAGAATTAAAATGATTGATTGAGACAGTGAAGTTCCACTTTTATAGCTTAAGATCCAGGGAGGTTTCACAGGGACATGGGGATTGATTGGAATGCAAAGGCAAGTAATTGCAGGCACAATGGGATGCCTCCCCTTTAGTACTGTTTTTATGTTAAAAATGCAGGCTAGGTCTGTATATACGTTGCAATTGCCATGCTACACTGTGGCAGCCAAAGTTTCATACTATATACACAGGCTCTGTGCCTTGCTTAGTAGTTATGCCCAATGGCATTACATTACATTATTGAACCATTTATTTCACTACAAGTCCAGCATATATTCTGGGGAAGATTTACTAAACCTGGAGGGTGCACAATATGGTGCAGTTCTCAATTGAAACCAAGTAGCTTCTAACTTCCGCTTGTTCAATTAGGCTTTGGCAACAAAGTCTTGAAACTGAATGGTTTCCATTCATAACGGCCCCAGATTGTTCACCCTTAAGGTTTAGTAAATAATGCTGAAAACAGCACACTCTCTGTATACTTTGAAGAACTCAGGGTGGTCTTGGTAGAGACCATGTTCTTTAAACTACCTAAACTTTAGGACACATGAAAAAGCACTTTAGGACATTTCAGAGCAGCGAAAACATAAATGTTTGAGCTCACAAAGCCCTCAATAGTCAATAAATGGTCAGTCCACCCAAAGGTAATATATTAGCTTGGGATGAAGTATTCAGGCAGTAAAATCTCTCTGCTCCAATTCTTGACTCTGCACCCAGCTGTCTGGTAGTTTTAGGTGCAACTCACACCTATTTGTGTTTCAGAAGCAACTGTCGCATTCTCCAATATATAAAATGAAAAAAAAAATTGCAACCAGGAGGGAAGGATGTCATTGCAATGGTCATAGTAGATTTTCTGCATCTACCAAAAATGAAATATTGATGGTCCTGTTGGGTGACACTTTGAAAAGTCTCTAGAACAAAACAAAACAACGCTGCTGCGGGTAAAAAACAGCAGCTTCAATAAGCCTGCAGATATGACCAAACATTTTTGGGTAGTGTTGTAGCTGGCCACTATGTTCCACCCCCCCCCTCAAATTCCTTCTGGCCAGTCATTATTATGGGCTGTCTCACTAAGCATTAGGAAAACAAAGAAAGCAGGAATGGGTGGGGGAAAGCTTTAACACTATACGGAAGGGCTGGTGGTTTGCCTGTATGAACAACTCAGCATCCAGCCATATCTGGAGGCTTTTGCAGTTACGTGGAGCAGGGGCGGACTGACAATTCATGGGGCCCCCGGGCAATAGGGGATCATGGGGCCCCTGTTTGCCCAAACTCAAAAAAGCCTATAAAAAAGGTACCAGGGGCATCTCATGGGGACCCCTACTGCCCCCGGGCCCTCGGGCAGTGCCCGAGTTTCCAAATGGTCAGTCTGCTGCTGATGTGGAGGCAGCCCCAGGTGTCTGTGCTTTACATTTGGAGCAGTGTCCTTGTTTGTGTTTTAGAGACAAAGTCAAGTAAGGAGAAAGGAGGCAAAGCCTGTGTAACCATAAACACCACTAACTTTATGGGCATAATTTAGATATTGTGTTTAATGGAAAAACCTTTTTCCAGCAAAAAAAAGATTAATAAATTCAGTTGTAGAAAACACATTGCTTTGAAAACTTTTTAATAAATAGTCTCTTGTAAAAATTTTAAATATATCATGCAGTCCATATAATTTAAAATAATTTACAGGCTGAGGTAGGGGTGGGGAGAAGCTGGGACAGCAAGAAAATAGTTCAAAAGGTTCGAGTTTTCCTGCTGAGCACACAAACACAGGCTGTATCAATCCGTATGAACCTCCATGCTGCTTGCTTCGCGTCCATGGTCAATGCTTTGACAAAGGTGTGTGTGGTGGTACAATAGGAGTTCCAATGTTTTGAGTCAATCCCACGGCATCCACTTGACACTGGCTTTGGATCGCTACACTTGGTCTCAAAAAAGTACTGTTTGAAAACGTTATTGTTTATATTGACTTCTCCCAGCACACTTACTTCCTTGCCCTTGATGTCAATCGCTGTGGTTTTATTCCCAACCCACATACTGACACTGTCACATACAGAGTATTCCCCCCGGTGAAGGACTGGATGTACTGTTCTTTTAGCCCGGATAGTCTTATTGAGGGATTCCTCATCATCTAAATATTCCAAGTTCCGGAGGTCCTCTGATATTGGTGGAGGTTGGGTACTAAACAAAACTCTTGGAGAGCGAAACTTCCTCTTCCTGAAAATCTTAGGATCAACTGTGATGTTGCGAAACATAGAAGGTTCATGTGTCTCTAATTTCCCATGATGCCGGTGAAGTGACTTAGTTCGATGTGTGGTGGTGTTGTTGATACGATGTCTTGTTGATGCTCCACCTGGGGCATGGTCTTTGGTCTTTGGTGCAGCCTGTATGCCGATCAAAAATGCTATAATCAGAGTGTAGTACAACATGGACATTACTCTCTCCACCTAGGGAAAAAATAATAAAATATTTAATATTATATCTATGAAAAAAGGTAAATTTTCACAAAACAGTAATAACAGTACTTAAACATTGTATTCATTCAAAATAAGTGGAAGTAACTTTGGCAGTATGATCATTGCATTTACACTGGCACACCATACAACCCAAAAGTTCAGAAATACTGTACTCCACTGTTCTTCAGTTATGGATCTCTCTTTCGATATCAATACGACTTTCTTTACACCTTCTATGTCACTGTCTATTGTGGTGCTTGGTACATTATAGCTAGCATTAATGTGTGTTGCATTAAGACAGTCCATTCATTATAAATGGGTTCCATTGCACGGCAGCAGACCAAAATGAATACTTTTTTGGAGTGCAACACCACAGTGCACAGCATAGCAGGTTCACCAAGAGCAAACACCTTTACGCTGTTGCTGGTAGGTATACTCATCTGTCTGCTTTTGATAACTCCCAGTTAATTCTATATTATGAAGGTGGACAAAAGGACAGATGCTGCAGCACTGCCCATGAGAGATATGGGGGGAAATGATTATGTTTATTTTTTTTATAGTATATATTTATTTAAAAACATTATTTTAATGGCTTATTATGTTGTACATCATATTTTAAGAATACCACCTCTCTGTACTGCTTAAAGGATAAGTAAATTATTTTGGAACATGTTATATGTTGCACTTGTATTTGGGATAAACATGTAACAGCCAGTTTCTCCAATCCCCCCTATGTGTGACAGCAGGCGGGGGATCTTCTCCTTGCAACCACTGTCACAATTTATAAAGAGAGTGGCCATGCGGGGCTCTGCCCACATGGCCACGTCATTCATTCTTAGCTTCCTGTGAATTAATGAACTACAGTACAACTATTGTCAGCCACCCGCGGCTGACGGCTTGTAGTTCTCATAGAACTATGAGGGCACTGATGAGCACTCTCATAATACATACATGAGCCCTGCAGCTTTCAAACAGACAGCTTGTTTGGAGGTATGGGCTGAAAGCTGCAGGATTGCATGTAGAATCCTGACATTGCACCCCTGATCCACTGATCACAGGTACCATGCTTTCCAGGCTCCTTCAGGATAAAATTATAATTTTTCTGCAATATTATGTACAGTACATTTATTATTTATTTGGGAAAAGTGAACTTATTCTTTAAAAAGAGCTTGTCAGAATGGAAAATTTGAGAACGGCTGTTGCTGAAGCATTCACAGGGCAGAGGTCGTCTTAAAGTGCAACTAAACCCTCCTGTCCTTTTCAGCCAAGAAAGCTGCCATCGTAGCCTCTGTTTGATCTGCAACTGCCATGATACTGCATATGTGATCAGTTATGACTCCAGCCATTTGTTGGTTTGGCAATTTGATTGAGAGCTCAAAGCAAATGTGAAAATTAGTATTCCCAGCATGACGGGAATATAACAGTTTTTTGAAACCATTAAATTGATGTGTTTTATTCTGCTTTAAGAAGTGTCACAATAAAGTCATTTCTTTGGTTGCTACTGTTTTAGAAATGGTGTCAAACCAGCACAACCCTTCTGAATGAATAAATATGAACCATTGTTTTCCAAGACAATTAGATGGTCACATGATGTCTGATGGTATCCTGTTTACTGCCTGACTTTATACATAGACTTCTATCTTAAATGGTGTGTGAGGTTAGTCAAATAACAGGTAGCAATTTTCAACTCTAGGTGATCTCTGACCCTTCAACACTCAAGATAACATGTCAGGCTCACACAAAACAAGTAAAACTAAAAAAGGGGAATTATTCAGCTTTCAATAAAGTAAGCATGCACAAATGTAGTTTTCATATTTATACTGAATATTCACATTTCTGCATAGGCCTAATCCAGTGATCTAACCTGCAACTCTGTTCACCTGCTAAAACCCTAGAAAATGCCCATTACTTCTGATAGGGGGGACCATATGATCTTCTCTATTCCTCACATGATGCGGGGCTCAGCATCTAAGTAACCAATTGCCAGACCTAAGCACTGTCACATAAGGGCTGGGGGAGGAAGCTTAAACCTAGGTAAGCACAGACACAGACTGACACAGGCCTTTCTATCCAAAGGTCTGGCAGGTAAACAGGGCTCCAGGGGTGTGCAGGAAAGGCAAGGTATTAGTGGGAGGGGGGATGGTGAGCTATTGAGAAAACTTGTCATGTATCCTAAATGTTCACTTTAATACAGAATACTACAAGTAATTTCTAAACTTTTTCCATTTTTCTCCAGCCTTCTAAGAAAGCACTCCGTAGACCAGATGAGTGCAGACTTTAGTGGCTGTATGCTTGTTCTGGGTCAGCAACAGGTAGTAAAATATTAATTAAGGTGACAGTCTTGAAGCTTGCACCTTTAGGACTAGTTTACACTAGCATTAGCCCTCTGAATGCCATGGTTTGCATGGTAGGTGTATTGTAACACTGAGAGACAGAATAGCAACAAAAAATTCAAAAGAAATGCATGTCTAACAATTATGCACTGATTTGCATGTTCATGAAGGAAATAAGTATTTGATACCCTTCACAAAACATGACTTAGTACTTGGTGGCAAATCCCTTGTTGGCAATCACAGAGGTCAGATGTTTCCTGTAGTTGGCCACCAGGTTTGCACACATCTCAGGAGGGATTTTGGCCCACTCCTCTTGGCAGATCCTGTCCAAGTCATTAAAGTTTGGTGCCTGATAGAGATGAGCGAAGAAATGAAAAATTCGATTCGACTGATTCGGCGAATTCGTGGACAATATTCGATTCGAGTCGAATAAATTCGCTGTGAATTTAACTTAAAAAAGGGTGTTTCTAGGCTTCAGAGAGACTTAATATTAGTGCAGAACACTGTACCTTTAATTTAAATGCCCTTGGAGTCTGCTGGGGAAGAGAAATAATACTGTCACTCAGTATGACATGCAGATGAGTGCCGTCGATCTTAGAATCACCGCACACTTCACTCATTTGGCCAGTCACGGGGCCAAAACCAGTGTTTGGAGCCACAGTGTGGCGGTGGAGGCAGCAGCAATGGGAGGCCATACAGCAACCTATGACAAAATGGAAACCAGCAGGAGTGTGAGGAGACCTGAAAGTGGCACATGCAGTGGGAGCAATGGGAGGCGGTACAAGGACCCATGTCACACTGTGGACCCAGCAGCAGCGTGACCAGGTGGTACGGGGGCCCATGGCAGATTACAGGCCTGGCAGCAGCAATGGGAGGCCCGTAATCTGCCAGCACCCTATGACAAAAAATGGAACACACCAGCAGTGTGTGAGGAGACCTGAAAGTGGCACATGGCAGAGTGTGGCGATGGAGACAGCAGCAATGGGAGGCCGTACAGGGACCCATGAGAGACTGTGGACCTGGCAGCAGCATGAGGAGGCGGTATAGGGGCCCATGGCAGATTAGGGGCCTGGCAGCAGCTATAGGAGGCCCGTAATCTGCCAGCACCCTATGACAAAAAATTGAACACACCAGCAGTGTGTGAGGAGACCTGAAAGTGGCACATGGCATGAGACACTCTGGACCTGGCAGCAGCATGAGGAGGCGGTATATAGGGGCCCCATGGCAGATTAGGGGCCTGGCAGCAGCTATGGGAGGCCCGTAATCTGCCAGCACCCTATGTCAAAAAATTGAAAACACAAGCAGTGTGTGAGGAGACCTGAAAGTGGCACATGTTTGGGGCATGATTCATGGCGGATTTAGTCAGTTGTGTCAGGAACTAGTGGTTTGAAATCCAGACTAATCCACGCCTGATTCATTTTCACAAACGTGAGTCTCTCCACACTTTGGGTGGACAGTCGTGTCCTCCGCGGAGTTGCAATACCTCCTGCCGCACTAAACACGCGCTCCGATGCCACGCTACTGGCCGGGCATGACAGCCTTTCAAGGGCAAATTCAGCTAGTTGGGGTCAAAGGTCAAGTTTCGTTGCCCAGTAGTCAAGGGGATTGTCTACCTCGGTTGGCAGGGTGCTGTCCGAGTAGGCCTAAGCCTGTTGTTTGAGGTCCTGCTCCAGGTCCACCTGATGCTGCTGCTGCTGCGGCTGGTTAGTAGTTTCCTCACTGCGCTGGTGAAGAAAGCTACTCATCATCGACTGCAGACTGAGGCAGCCGCTGCTGGTGGAGCTGCTGCTGCTCCTACCACCCCACCCCTCCCCTGCTGCCATGGCAGCGTAACGCGAGCGCACAGGGCCCACAGTGTCTGAGGATGGACGTTGGCGCAGAAAGGCAGAGACCAGCTGACTACATAGGTGGTTTTTATAGTACGTTATTTTGGCCTCCCTCTCAGCAGGTGTGAAAAAGGCCACCATTTTTGAACGGTAGCGAGGGTCCAACAAGGTGGACAGCCAAAAGTCATCCCTCTGTCTGATGGTTATTATTCGGGCTGTCGCTACGCAAGCAAGCGAGCATGCTATGGGCCATTTGTGCCAAGGAATGCGAGGGACTCCCTACCTCCATCTCCACAGCATACTGCCACGGTGCGTCTGGGTCCTCTGTCTCCTCCTCCTCCTCCTCTACCAGATGCTCCTGCTCCTCCACTCCTGTCCGCTGAGTGGAAAAACCACCCATTTCACTCAATAATTCCTGAGCACCAATGTCCTCCTCTACCTCCTCCTCTTCTTCCTGTCCTGCCCCCACAGGGGTCATGTGGCGTTGAGATCTGTGCGCCACGTCTACCGCACCCTGACCACCATTGTTAACAGCATTTGTTCCAGGACGTGCAACAGAGGAATGACGTCGTTCATCCCATAGTCCTGCCGACTCACGAATAGCGTGGCCTCCTCAAAGGGCCTGAGCAAGCGCAGGTGT